ATTCTTTCCCAGTTCCCTTTTGGAATTTCCCAAGGGTGATTGGGAGCTTTGGGCAGATTTGGCCGTGTTAGTGCACAATTTTCACATCCTTTCACAAGATGCTCAATGTCCTTGTCAATATTTGGCCAGTAAACATAGCGCCGTGCTAGCTGTTTCATTTTTGTGATTCCAAGATGACTTTCATGAAGTTCATTTAGAATCTTGTTTCTAAGTTGTGATGGAATGTAAACTCTTCCTCCCCGGAAAAAAATGTTTTCGACCAAAGTAAAGTCAGAACAAAGTGAATTGGTGAGTAGGTCTTTCAAAATCTTAGAGAGCACTGGGTCTTTGGCTGTCTCATTCTTGATACTTTCAGCTGTGATTTCATGGCTTGAAATTTGAAAAATTGCTTGGCTGCAGATTTGATGTACCTCTTTTCTAATTTTCTTGTCTTTAGTAAAGTGAGTCTGTGTAAGCTCTTGAAAGACAATCCACGTTTTTTATTTTCCATGCCCTTTTTGAACACCAACTTGTAATTGAAACCTGACAGATATGATGCGTATCTGAGTAAACGAGCTGAAGTTGTTTGTGGTAGAGCCTTGTCATGCCTGAAGATCCTAGATATGGGCTGATTATCTGTTACAAGTTGAAATTGAATCCCATCCTCGTCGCCAATTAAAATGACTCCAATTAATTATAAAATAATTAATAGAAACACGCATATTTACTCAACACAAATTCTATTTCATGAATGTTTTCAAAACAAATACAACAGAAAACATATGATAATAAAAATAGATATAAATGAAGTATTGAACAGTCTTAAAGAAGCTACAACAATATACAAATATAACAATTTTAACGAATGGTGTTTTTGGCCTCTGGGGACATCAAAATGAAAAAGCAAATCGGTCCCGGGCCTAGGTCTTACTGTGCCACCTACGGTAATATCTACTTCCCTATGGGGAAATTCGCTAAAAAAGGCTCATGCAGAAAGTGGATGAAGAGGCAGTTTTATGATCCTCAATATAGGCAGGCCTATTTATGATAAATCTAGCTTGCGCTAGGTGCTACTGGGTTGTATCCTGTTTTCACAGCGTTTTCCGAAAGTTCAACTTTTTATAACAAAGGTAGCTTACACATATCTCTGGAACTAATTGACCTAGAGACTTGAAATTTTTTATACATAATTGTTGTGTTATAGGTGACATTTAGACCCATTTTAGCGAATATCCCTTATAGGGAATAAGCTATTACCGTAGTACTCATGGAAAGACCTGGACCCGGGATTTACTTTTTCGTTTTGAGGTCCCTAGAGGCCAAAAACACCATCCGTTCAAATTCATATACAGTATATATATTTATATATGCGTCCGTTAGCGCGATAACTTTAGCAAAAATCATCCGATTTTGATGAAATTTGGTACAAACGTGTAATTCGACGTTTATTCGAACCAGAATGATTGGAATATGGGATCAGGTGGTATGGGGGTTTTATGGGGTAAAAATTGGGTTTTCCCATTTTTGACCCTAAAAACTTAAAATTTGGCATTTTCTTTCCAAACCATTTTGTAGAGCTTAAAAAAACAAATAATTTAATATAATGAAGCGTTATTATGCGCATGCGCCTAATGGAAAAAATTCCAAAAAAACTGTAAATTTAAAATTCCTATACGTTATTCTTATTGAGAATAAGTAAACTGTTGTAGTTTCCTTGTTTGTGCACATATTTTGATCAAATTTGGAAAATGCATTCATTTCATACTAAACTATTAACATTTTACAAATAAACACCTTTTTACTCTCCCTGTTGCAGCAAACCTAAGTACTCGTTAAACTAATGTTATTTAAATATAGTAGACTCCCTCTTCTCCGGACACCTTTTAACCAGACTACACTCGGCGGAAATGACACTCTCTTTAACCGGACAATTATTATCAGCACATCGTTTTAACCGGACTAGATCCGCAGGAAGTGGGCGGTACTGCAACGGCTGTTCTTGTGTGAAAGATTTGAGACCAGTGATCACGTGTCTAAATACAATGCTCTTCTAAATTTAAGTCAAATATTTGGGTTACATAACAAGCTTTTGGGGACATAGGTTTAACCGGAAAACCCATTATCCGGACTGACCTCGGTCCCGAGGAGTCCGGATAAGAGGGAGTCTACTATAGGGAAAAAATGTGATATTTTTAAGGAGACATTTTAGTGTAAATCCAATCAGGCAAATGGAAATTCGCTTAGTCTGCAGGTTTGCTGCGGCGGGGGTATTTATTACTGTCACATTGCCAGTGTTTAAGAAAAATTTATGTCTTTTAATTTTGTTAATGTAATACTTGATTGAAAAATTCAGAAATTGAGTCTGTTTACACATAAAGGGCTGATAATTATAGCCTACAATTTTGAAAGCCATAGCTTTACACCTTTTGAAGAAACGTGTACCTAAAGATGGCAAATTTTACATTGGCGAGATGCCCTGTTCCAGCTCCCCCTAATAAAGCAATAAATAAATCAAATGCTTAACTAAAGATATAATATAATATACAGCGGTGTTTACACTGCCGTATTACCACGTCCATAACAGGCGTGGTCGCCAGGCCAATTGACAGCCGTGCGCAAATGCCGTGGCGCCACGGTACCGTTCCACGGCCACAAGCAGCCGTGTAGTGTAAACAGTTTTCTGGTAGAAGCGTATTCATTTAAGGCATGTTCATTTTTTTTTAAGGGTACGTTATGGATTGTTCCAACAGATTAATTATTTAATGTTGTGCTGCAGTGAGTGTTATTTTAGCTGAAGAAATTACGATGGCCCTGAAGGGGCACTCAGTTTCTTTTTGTCTTTCATTTTACTTCGACTTTTTTCTCGAAGTAGTTCGACTTTTTTCTCGAAGTACTTCGACATTTCTATCTAGTCTAGTTTTACTTCAACTCAACTTCAATACGAATACGTTCATTCTATTCTGTTTCTGATTCTTTCTCTGTCTGCTGTCTCACTGTCTCTCGTCTCTGTCGCACTCAGACCTAATAAAATCCTTGACAGAGTCAATATCAGAAAAGTGTTTCCTTCTATGAAGTCCGAGCTTCTTGGTATACCTTTTAAGTGTCCGCTCACTTATGCAAATTTTATGCTTCAATAAAAGAATTGCAAGTATTTCAGGCTGTTGAAGGCCTAAACTAAAATATTGTTCAATCAGTTCATTAATGTCATATTCCATTATGTGTCCTATAGCTCAAACCCCTTTCTATCTGCCAATTCTTATCAAAAATATGTCTACATCAGAAACACCCCTACATCAACAGTTAGTGGGGTCGTGGTTGCCGTAAAATTATAACAAACTATAATAAGCACATTCGAGAATAAAGTCGGAGTACTTCGAGATTAAAGTCGAAGATCGAGATTAATAATACTAGTGTACCTGTTGCTCGAATTCGAGCAATTGCGAAGCATTACAGGCGTTATTTTAAAACGAATAACAGTCTTAATTTCCGATGGCTTTATAAGAGTCGACTCAAAGATTATGGAAATACTCAAGATGTACACAGCAGTTAGATATAATCAAAATTTTTTGTGAATATCTTATATTTTTTTCAAAAGCTAACCTTGTTTTTTAGTGTTTTCTACAAATTTTCCCCACTCATAGCCCCATTAGGTTGTCTATAATAACGATTATAAATGAAAAAAAAACAAACATTATTTCTATTTCTTCTACTGTACTTGGTTGTGTTCTATGACTCTCCTGTTTCCATTGTTTGCAAATCGGCTCTTTAAATTATTGCTCAAGAAATGTAGCACAGTGTTAATTCAGTTTTATTTTTAGAATATCAAATTGTCCAGTATTTCTGACTTTTTTCCATTGTTATTTTAAAAATTACACCAACCAAGTATTGTCTACTGCAGATGCAATACGCCAAAGAATATCGTCTACGTGCAATCTCCAAGAAGTGGTAAAAAGGCAGAAACCAACCCATACAATAGATATAAGTTAACTCCATAAGAAATAATTTTAAGAGTTACTGTGATATTAGGATTTTCCACTGATTTGGTAATAGAACATTATATTGAAAATCATGGCACGATTCAGAAGAAAATCGATTTTAAATTCAGAAAAAAACCATTGCAAATACATCATTTTGACAAATTTAGTAAATCACAATTTAAATATTTACAGCTGTTTTATTCAAAAGTAGTGTAAATGTATGCATATGGTCGTAATGTAAACAAATCTGAAGAGGGAACTTTAAAGGCCTCTGGGGCAGAGCCCCAAGGGAATTTACCTTGTTTCTATTTTGTTGGCTCATCTACAGACTAAGACCTTTCTTTAGAGACCCCTACCAAGTTTCTACGCCCAGCCGTTCTCTGTAATTAGCTGTGACAAAACCCCGTTTTTCCTCCATAAGAATAACATGGGATAGGAATTTAAAGGCCACTGGGGCAGAGCCCCAAGGGAATTTACCACGTTTCTCTTTTGATGGCTCATCTACAGACCAAGACCTTTCTATAGAGACCCCTACTGTGTTTCTACGCCCAGCTGTTCTCTCAAATTAGCTGTCACAAAGAAAAACTGTTTCAAATTAATAGATATATATGACAGTTTGAACCAATAGTTTTTTTGGTCTCTAGGGACATCGAAATGAAAAAAGTTAATCGGTCTTAGGCCTAGGTCTTACCGCGCCACCTATGGTAATTAGCAAATTCTCTATAGGAAAATTCGCTAAAAGTAAATTTGTCCCGATTCTAGATCTTACCATGAGACCTACAAACAGTAATAGCTTATTCCTTATATGGGAAATTAGCCAAAAACTACTTTTTGCCTATGATAGTGAATTGAAAGTTATTAATTTTTAATAGGCTGTACACTGTGTTCCGAACCGATAGCGGTAATTAGGCTAGAACGGTACCCTGTAGCATACCTTTTTTACGGAGAATTAGCTAAATTGACTTGAACAATTATTATAAGGTGAGATTGTGACAGACATTTGTCAACTTGTAAGTCGTTATAATTAATTTTCTCTCTTTTTAGATTCCTTGGAAGCAAGATAATATAGAGACTGAAGCATCAATGGTTATCCCAGTGCCTGAACCACTTTGTGGGGCCATTATAATTGGCCAGGAGTCAATTTTGTATCACGATGGTAATTCTTTTGTGGCAGTAGCTCCTCCTGTTATTAAGGTGAGCAACCTATTAATGTTATTAAGTTTAAATCACTTTGTAACACTCTTGTTATCACTATATTAGTACTATAATTTATTTCTGTACTTTATTTCAATACTTCAATATTAATTTCAGTTGAATTAGTATTAAAGTTAGTTAGTTGAATTACAATCATCTCAAAGCAAACAAAGTACGCCTCACCTGACAGAGGCCGCATTATATTTAAGTGTGAGAAGATGCACATGATCTTTCCGACCGGGTGAAATAAAAAATTCAGTTCCTAATTTAATTTAAACCTTCTGAATATGCTTAAGATAAGTGATGGATCAATTCAATTCAAGTCAAGTCAAAACATCTTTATTCATTAGTATATACTAGAGAACCCGTGCTGCTCAATGAGCCGCATAATATGCAGGGCCGAATTTCCCAATAGGCCCAGTAGGCCTGGGCCTATGGGCGCAAGGTCCCAGAGGGCGCACGGCCGAGAGGATTTTTTTTTATATCTAAAAACTAAATAGTCATAGGGTAGTTGACAAAAAAACTATGCATTCTGAAGTTCATAAAAAGAAATAATTGTTAGGAAATTTAAACTATTTTTCAGAGCTACGCATCAATTTCGTTAGAAAATTGGTAACATTGGTTATACGAGAGTAGGCTGTAGGGATGTTGACGTTGACGAGCGCCCAAGGGGTACGCATCGCATTGCCACTGCACTGCCACTATGCTGCCTCGGTACCACTGATCAGAGTGATTAGGAGCGCATGCGTGCTAGACATTGTTACCACCCACACCTCAAAAAACAAAAGATAATAACTAATCTTTTGATTAGTTTACAACAATCTGCAGGATTAAGTTAAACTATATAATATGTTGTGTTGAATATTAAAACAACGACAAATTTACCTTTAAAATTAACAAAAAATATTAATCTCGCATAAAAATATTAAAGTTTGCATTAGATTTAAAAAAAAATCCATACCCTCCAAAGCACTATTAATGTTGTTATTTTCTCCTCAGACCGGATCGGTATGGTTGGCCGGAATATTGCTCTGTTTTGGTTTGGAAATATAACCTAGATGCAGTATGACCATAGATTAAATATAATAACTCAAGTCGACTTCTTATGACATTGTTAATTCAAAATTTTTCATGTCTAGATCATGTTGGTGACACTGGATGTTAGTTTTGACGTAATTTTGTTTCTATTATTTTAGGGTTTAGTTCTATGATGTGTGTTTTAATTTCTTGTAGTTATATAAACAGGAGACGACTATGTTGATGATTAGATCGTTTTATTTTGGATAAACTAGGTTTAACCATAGATAAAACATACTCCTTAAATAACAAGAATTGTTTTCAGCTAATCCAAAACTATGACAAATCTACTAAAGGTGAATGTTTAATCTATGGTATCACATACTGTATGGAGTTCATGTTTTTGTGCCTGAAATTGGAATCAATGGCCATGTTTTTTTGCAGGAATGTTTGGTGGGTTGAGTTGTTTTGATTCAGTCCCAATGCGCAGCCACAAATGTGAGCATTTATTAAAAGCATAAAATTGCTAAAAGTGTTTAAGATGGCATTTTGTTAAAACTAAACAATTCAATTCTTAAAAAAAACCTGCAATGATTCCGACGAGGAGTGTTATTCAAGCAATTAACTTAGGCCTATGGGCATGATATCTATATATATAATACGTGAAGCCGTTTTTTGTTAACGCAACTCCTCCCTTATTTCTGGACCAATTTCAACGTTTAAGGTGTCAAAAGATTCGTCTCAATATGTAGTTTTGCAATAAGGTTTTAGAATTTCAAAATTCCTACTATTGAGGTCAGGTTTTCCCCATAAGAAATACATAGAACAAATTTAACTAGTGTACATGTTGCTCGAATTCGAGCAATTACAAAATATTACAGGAGTTATTTCAGATTGAATAACAGTCATATTTACAATGAGTTTAAAAGAGTCAACTCAAATATTACCGTTAAGTAACTCAGACCCTGTTTATCTTCGTTATTGATAAACCTAAAGCATTCCGGACGGTTCTCTCCTTCTCAAAGAGGCCTCGCTGTACAGGCAACACAGGTCATTAATAGAGGGCCAATTGAGAACGAAAAGTCGTTTTGGGGTAGTGTTAGGGCGCATTTGTAACCAAATAGTTGAAGTTGTCCAGGTTCAGGTTCAGACTGTGATGAGTTAAGCGTTACGCACCACTGTTCTGTAGCAGCTGCGGTCGTTATCACGATTGCGCCTCCTGTCTATGTTTCGTTGTCGTTGCGTCGGAGACATTTAAAAGAAATTAACAAATTATAGCTACACAAAACAACGATAAATAGGTACAAAAATTTAAGATACAACCATACTAACACGATCCGTCTTGGGGGTTATGTTTACACAAACTCCAATAGTAAATAAATGTACTCAATGTGTTTCATTGAATTGAAAAGTAAATAACAGCAATAAAATTATACAGCTGATCAAAATGTAAACAATTATGTTCTTCATAAGGATAACATGGGAACTTTCAAAGCCACTGGGGCAGAGCCCAAGGGACTTTTTCAAAAATGTAAGGTCAGTTTGCAAATCTACGCGACACGCTCTTTCCAATGAGACGTCAATGGGTAAAATCGGTTAAGAAATGGCGGAGGAGTTCAACCGACAAACTTTCGTGTAGCGTATTAATTATATAGATAACAAAAAACAGCTGTTTATAAAAAGAAACTCATTAGCTTTTTAAATATTAACTAGGTGAAACCCGTCGAAATCGACGGTTACTTTCAAAGGCTTACGCTAATTCATTTAACTGCGATTAATTGAGTGAAATTATGACTTACATATTTTTAGCATTTAGAATTGTTTAAAGAGTAATAAGTGTATAAACAATAATGATAATAATTGTGTTAGTTACCAAATATGGTTGATCATTCAATGAATAAAATATTTCCCATACCGTACGTCGTCGGAGTATGTTAACTGGTATCTCTTATTTTGAAAGAACCTTTAAGTAGTATTAAAATCGTAATGGTGGATCTTTTGTTGTTAAAAACTTTTGCGATTTCTAATCTATCTATATATTAATAGGCAAGCATGTTTCTTTAAAACCTTTTTTCTCAGCTCGTGTGCATCGTAGGGAAAATCTACACATACCGTTAGAAAGCTATTTTCCTGTAGGTGTGCAGAATCCCTTTATAAATTTAAATAGGCTCAAAGATAAGCACAAAAAATGAGTTTAAAGATTTGAAAAAAATAACATGGATCTTATGCGTTGCCATGCTGGTGACGAAATAACAACGAAATATAAACAGGAAATCAAAACAAATGGAAGAAACTCCAATCACATGTTTTATTTACAGTGTGGGGTGAAAATAGAGAAGTGAGCACATTACATATTTTTGGTCGAGTTTCGACCACTGGACTACCTCTCGTAAAGATTAATCTATGATTTTATTTGAGAAAAAACTATCTGTTTGTTGAGAAGACACGTTCTAACTTCAAAAAGAGGTCCATCCGTTACAGTGTAAGTTTGATTTTTCCCTCGTCACGTTGCGTCAGTTTATATCGTACTTCTGTGCCAATGAATAACCCTCTTGCATAGTTTTGAGAAATTGGTTGTGAGGTTACTTTTAAAGCTGATAAGACACTTCTGCACTTGTATTATTTTGTATTGTGTTACACAATTGAAGATTTTCCCGATGATTGAAAACATGTATGACAATAATCTCATGAACCTATGATGATCTGTCTAGAATGATATGATAAAATATAGCCAAAAGTGGTGAAAAAGGCATACACCAAACCCATACAATAGATATAAGATAGTCCAATAAGAAATAATTTTAACAGTTACTGGAGGATAAAAGGATTTTCCACTGATTTTAGTGAATTTCCCTATAGGGAAGTAGCTATTACCGTAGGTCTCATGGTAAGACCTAGGCCCGGGACCGATTTACTTTTTCATTTTGATGTCCCCAGAGGCCAAAAACACCGTCCGATTTTGATAAAATTTGGTTTGAATTTGTAAGGCGGGATAAACTTGCATGATGATCGGACTGTGGGAACGGGGGTTTATGGGGGGTTTTATGGGGTAAAAACAGGTTTTTCCCATTTTTGACCCTAAAAACACAAAATTTCACAATTTCTTTCTAAACCATTTTGTAGAGCTTAAAAAAACAAATAATTTAGTATATTGAAGCGTTATTATCCGCCTAATTGTTACGGATAAAATTTTAAAAAGATTGTAATTTTAAAATTCCCATGTTATTCTTATGGAGAATAAGTCAACCGTTGTAGTTTGCTTGTTTATGAACATATTTTGATAAAATTTGGAAAATACATTAATTTCTTACTAAACTACAGTACCTTTTACCATTTTACATAAAAAAAGCTTTTTACCCTCCCTGTTGCAGCAAACCTAAATAGGCTACTCATTAAACTAATTCTGTTTAAATAGGGAATAAATGTGATATTTTTAAGGAGACATTTTAGTGTAAATCCAATTAGGCAAATGGAAATTCGCTAAGTCTGCAGGTTTGCTGCGGCGGGGTATTGTAATTGAACGTTATGTTGCAAAACATGACATGATACAGAAGAAAATCAATTTTAAAATCAGAAAATAATATTGCAAATACTTCTTTTGGACAATTTAGTAACTTCCAATAAATGTGTGTTGTTTAAAATACAATTTAAAAATTAACAGTTGTTTCACTAAAAAGTATTATCCACATAGCCAAAATGTAAACAAATCTGTGGAGGGATCTTTAAAGGCTTCTGGGGCAGAGCCCTAAGCGAATTTACTTCGTTTTTCTTTTGATAACTCATCTACAGACCAAGACCTTTCTTTGGACAACTCTACCAAGTTTCTACGCCCAGCCGTTCTCTCAAATTAGTGGAGACAAAGTTTCCAATTAAATATTTAGATTCCACCATGTTAATCTTATGGGAGAAAACTCAGATTTGATGGAAGATCCTTCCCAAACTAATAAAGACAGGGTGTCTACCAACCGGGAAATCCGGGAAAA